CGCGGCCTGTGTGTGTGTGGGTGTGTGTGTGTGCTTTGTATTGTGTGTGTTGTGTGTGTGTGTGTGTGTGTGTGTGTTGTATGTGTGTGTGTGTGTGGTGTGTGTGTGTGTGTGTGTGTGTGTGTGTTGTGGTGTTTGTGTGTGTGTGTTGTGTGTGGTGTGTGTGTGTGTGTAGCCCACCGTGACGATCGATTTAGCGCGTCGAGTCAGAGAGTTGCGAGCAGCAGCAGCCACAGTGAGCGGCGAGTCAGCAGCAGGCGAGTCGAGTCAGCAGCGCACCAGCGAGCACATACATGTTACATGCTCGCGGAGCTATGCACTCTCCGGTGAGTGCCTCTCTGTCTATTTATATGTGTAACACCGTGGAATTTGCATATGGGCATAATTTGCTTGAAGAGAGTCAAGGAATATTTTGAGAGTTAGTTTATTGGGAATTTAGGTTTTATTGTATACCAAGCGCAAACCAGCAGCAATGGACTGCCAGGTCTTCTGTACTCTTACTTCTGTATACGGTTCTTGATGGTTGTTGAGGGTAACATGTGCATCGAGGTAAGGCTGAGGGCATTAGTTATCAATCCTGTAGCAGCTAGGTTACACTGTCACTGGAGCGCCATCTATAGGGAGACTTACTTCTTGTAGAACGGCTGAAGGTGGATGACATTTTTTATGGCTTCGTGCTCCAAAAATATCAATCTGAAATTACAGAAGAGCAGGTACTGACCACCACTTCGCTACGCCCGAGGTCAGGCGCGTCCACGCCGGGGCCACTCAACATGCCATATACATACACAGGTCGACCAGCTGCATGCTACCAGTTTCCGAAACAATCTCCCTCATACCACCAGCGTGTGTACACCTGCATGAACACAGATCGCATTAACGTGCTCGCAGGAGCTCACCCTGGCCACCACCACACCACGCCCGACCCGGCCCACACCGACACCACACACATGGACGAACGGCACCACACACGCCGCACTTCATAAGTCGGTTCTCTAACCTGTGCAACACAAATCCAATGTCAGAAGAATATAGCTGGGGTACAGTGACAAGTTCACTCTCTACGACCGGTGAACGGCATTTAGCACAGGATCTCTTGCTGACAATTGCTACAGACTTTCAGAGCCGCATACAGATCGTCTGTAAATAATGCTCCCTGACAATTTTTAGATACCACCTCTCTTGGTTTTCCGTAGGAAGTATCCTAGACTTTAACATAATTACACCAGGTTTATAATTTTATATGTGTAACTTCACATTTCATTTTACTTGACTGTGTCATGGTGATTCAGCGATAGCGCCGCTACACGCGACCGACAAACATTACTTAATTTTGTACATAATGTTCTGCCGGAAACGATGTCGCCCCAGAAATACAGACAAACGATAAACAAGAAGAGCTCGGGTAAACATTGAGATGACAGAAAATTTACCTGGAAAAAACATATTTGGATCCGCCATTAAAACCGGAATATATAACGGTATAACTTTTAATTCTGCGCGAGTCACTGCCTGGTTTAGGCACGTCGAGTTGACTAAGACTACTTATGTGTCAGCAGTGTTGTAATGAACGAGTGTTATCATAGTTTCATTACTCATTACTCGATAGGTCATGTCAGCAGGCACTTGGAACGTCTCAATAAAAAAAATTAATGGGTAAATAAACATGAATGCTACAAAAAGTCTTAAATGTTTCATTAGGCACTCTATTTCACCTGCTGAACTGCACGGTTCAAATGCTCATCTGCAAACACACAAAATACACCGTATGCCGCCCGCGCGCTGTGCAGCGTGGCACAAACAACCATGAATAAGAGGCAGGTAAGGAAAGCGCGGATGAAATAAATTCGCGCGGCGGCTCGCTTTATTTTCTCACGATCACTGAACGAAAACCGGCATCAACAGCTTCACTTGGTTATCTATGTGTACATAAATGTTCACTTGTTTCGGAGATAACTCTGGCCTTTGTTTTCTTACTACTCCCGCCAGAGATTATCTCGCGAATCCTGCACGAAATGTGCTCTCCGTGAAAAAATGTTAAAAAGGACGACATGATCCGAAAATCCCTAACGGCCACTACTTTCAATCGAGTCGCGTAGTAGTCGCTGTGTGTGCGTGACGTTCATTGCTCGCGACGATTCGTGCTTGGCTTGGCGGGCTCGAAATGCGAGCTCGGAGGCGGCAGCAGCCTCATCCCGGCATTATGCATGCCGCGCCCATTACTCGTTGTCATAAACAGACATCTCGGTCCTCTGTTACATGTCACGGACGAGCACAATTTCGGCAGATTTTGCGGATATCTCTGGCGGGAGTAGGTAAGAACAAAGGCCCAGAGTTATAATCGACACAATGTGAACATTTATGTACACATACGATACCAAGATGGAAGCTGTTGGAATTGCGTTTTCGTTCATGCTGATCCGTAGAAATATGCGAGCGTTCGAGCGAATTTTTTCAATCGCGCTTTCCTACCTGCCTCTCTTATTTCATGTTGTTTAGTGCACGCTTGCCACAGCCGCGGGCGCGGCATACGGTGTATCTTGTGTGTTGCAGATCGAGCATTCTGACCGGCATTCACAGGTGAAATAGAGTAGGCCTAGAGAAACATTAAGATTTCTTGTACATTTCATGTTTATTTACCATTAATTTTTTTTTTGGTATTGAGGACGTTCAAGGCCTGTGCGATCATAGTGACTTATGTACGCTCAAAGAAACGGCACTTGTTAGGCCGTTACGATAGCCCAGCAGCGCGCCAGGGAAAGCCAGTAACGCCAATGTATTATTGACGTTAGTCACACAGGCCTGGTCGGGTTCAGTGGCTATGGTTAATAATAAATAAACTTAATGTTGAATTGTTATAGGCACTTGCCACTAGTTCAATACGGCCATGACTGTACGTGTAAAAATACTCAATACTAGTCAAATAACTAACCCACTACTCATTGGACGTCAACTTTACTGTTGGTGTCTGGCTGTGAGTGCCAATGCAAGATTCACGATTCAAAACAGTTTTATTAGCTACAGTGATAAGCTCTCATATTATAACAATTGTGCATTTTATGAGAAAGCGATGAAATTTCTAGCCTATAGTTAGTATATACCATGATGTTTATTTTCAGATGTGGGAGCGGGCGAAAGTCAGAGTTTGACCTCTGAGCGACCGTGAAGTAGCGTCAAATCCAAGATGGCCGCCAGTCCACCGCGGTCTTAATGTTCAAACCGCGTTTAATTTTGCAACCAAAGCAGCCGTAGAAAACATTTAAGGTGTTGATTTCCCAACCTAAATGCGGGGATGGACCATTCATTGGTGATACCTTTTGAGATCCGTAGAACTCGAAGGACATGCATTTAGGCCAAGGTCAAGGGGCAAAAATTTACCAAAAAATAAGAAATCGCTTGAAGACTTTGCAACAGTAAACACCCAGCAATGTAATTTCAAAATTACATACTTAAGATTACCCATATATTTGATGATCATTTTCAAGTCTTGCCAGCACTTGCAACCCTGGCCACGATTCCTGTCCTTGCTGTTTGACCAACCACTGTATGCTCTTGCTAAGGAAAGTCCAGTGGACTGGCCAGCCGACTCACTGGAAGAGGCAGTCACTCCTTGTGATCATGCTTCGGTGGTCTACACATCGAGATGGTAATTGTTGAAGTTCTGGGAGACTGTGGAAGACAGTGGATTGGACGAACGCCTTGCCGTACAGGCAGACCCATTGCAAGTTCCTGCGAACAGCAACATCTGCCTCATAATCGCAGGCATTTCACCAAGACACGCCATGTACACCAAGTCACAGCTTGCAAGCCTGTATACACTTCCTGCACACAAGCTTACAATGAAGATGCCCAATCGATGATACTGGATGCCATGGTACGCAGATAGGTCGCGTCCTTTGAGGAGCTTGGCGGCCTACAGCCACGTGTCCACTTTGACTACTGGCATGAGCCCTGTCATTTGCGTGCTCTGCTTCTGCCCGGTACATCAGGTCACTTCGTGAAAGGTAACTTGTTCAGCCTGTACGTGAATAATCCCTGACGCAGATCATGCCTGGATGTTTGCCCTAGATCACACGCACTACTCCAAGTTTGCTTCCGTACACATCCGTGAGCATGACGACTCTTGCTTGAAAAACCCCAATGTCCTAGCAGAATTCAAGTCTGGAAACTTCGTTGCCCTGCTGCCACAAACCAGCCACAAGTTTTCTGCCTATGGCACATTGACGCAGTTCCCTAAGCCAAACAATGCAATGGTTGAAAGGTCTTCTGTGGGCTATAGGCCGACTGACAGGCAATCCAGGAAGCACTCAGACGCTGGATGGTAGCCAGGCCAGAAATTGCCAGAATACTACAGGAGTTTGAGAAACAGGCCGCATAAAGCAACAGGGTCTGAGGCTGTTGACACTGGGCACCCTCACCGAAGACCAGCAAACATGGAGTGCAAGCCCAGCATTCCTGAAGGAGTTTAAGCGCACTTGCTGACAGTGCCTGAAAGAGGATGGGGAATTCATTTCTAGAAATCAGCCAAGATCCTACTAGTTATTAACACAAGGCGGAACATCATGGACACCCAAGTGCGCTGGAAAACTGTGAGAAGATTGAGAGCCCTTTGGGTTTGAGAAGCGGTACACTAAGTTTGTGGACAGAAAGGTTAGAACGAGTGTACCACACCTGCTGCACACAGACACTTCCAAACGAACAAGTTGCCACTTTTCAGTAAGCCACGGTCGAAGATTAAGTCAAAAACAGCGGGAGGCACAAGCTCGGCCTGCACTGAAGAAGTGACTTGTGCGTCGTCTTTCCGAGGCGTGTACATCTCCTGTCAAACTCGGATTGGAGACAATTCAACAATTTCTTCTCCAATGGAAACAGGCAGCCCTGCCAGCTCTGTCACTGGAGAAAAAAATGCCGTTTGGGTTAAAGCCAGATCTACTTCGCTGCCTGGGAATCAGATGCTCTCGAAAACAATAGTGTGCCTGGTGGCTGATGCACGAATTTGCATGGTGCCGCTGTGCCGTTCAAATGCTTAAATCCTGGGGACATCAAGAACATTTAAAGAGCTTGCAAAGCAGTGTTTTGCCACCATACATCTCTCCTGAACTCGCAGAATGCGGCCGCAGTCGGACCTTGTCTGCACGGATGTATAGCCTACCTGCCAGGCCTGAAAGCACACTCAGACAGACATTAGGGGAAATGGGCCATCAGGAAATGGGGCTGTCTCCTATCTACTTGTTGAATGCAAATTAACTGGAAGGACTTCCTTCGAGTCAGATGAGAACCAAACCCGAATTATTTGCTTTCTGTCACGCGAGGCTGTTCACATTCATTCTAGCAGAAGGCAAGGAATGTATGCAACAGTTAGAAGTGGCCGGTTCCTGTGCTCTCCTGTCGAGTTCATTCATTGGGCCCCTTGCCCATGCTTTCATAAGAGGAGGCTGGAACACTTGTCTACTTCTCCATTGTGGGCAGATGCTGTGCAAAAAAGGGGGACCATACGTACCATTTGATACTGATTGTTGGTGGTACTCGCGCTGTGGCTTCATTCTGGCAGATAGCTCCTTGATGAGCTGGTTGGTGGCCTTTGGTGTTGGCCTCAATCGTTCGGGTTACACAGCGTCCTTAACGAAATGCTTGCCCACAATGAATCCAACACAGTGGGTCTCACTCTCCCAGTCTTTCACGCTTTCATACCGGACTGTGACACTGTATCTTGGCATTCGCTGGGCCAGAGGAAAGAAGACTGCCCTGTGGGAAACTTGGAAGACTTTCCAGAGGTGAATTGATGCTTTCAGTGAACTCCTATGCCATGCGATGACGAGTCAGCTGAAGCGATCAATGTTATTGCTAGAGCGTTTTTGTGGTGCTCCTGTATGACCGAACCAGTGCAGAGCCACGTACTGTGAATGATGCCAGAAACATGCTCTTCACACAGAAGTCTATGAACTCTACGAGAACAATCCTCCAACCCAGGTCGCACATCAAGCGCTCTTGCTACAGACAACTGTTTTGGAACCAGGCATTGCGTCATGGATCCAGAGATTCCAGAACCATCGACTGGGGGCTGACAAAGGAAACAACTGTGGTGGCAGCCCTTTGGACCACTCTCCCTAGGCTTAAAGCCAGCAAAATCGTGCCATGAATTGATCCACTGTCGCTGCGAGAAAGCATGCACTGGACGCTGCAAGTGTGCCAAAGCTGTTCCCCTGTGCTTGTGCTGGTGTGCTGTGTGCTGCTTGTGTTGACTTGTGCTGGGGTGTGTTTCTGTTCTGTTTGAACATTTACCAAGTAGAATATTTATGAAAATAGCGCATATTTGATTTTTGAAACGTTAATTCGACCTTGACCTTGGCCTAAATGCCTGTCCTGAGTTCTAGCGCATCTCAAAATGTATTCACCAAAGAATGGTCATCCCAATTTAGTTGAAATCCGACACCTTAAATTGTTTTTCTACGCTGTATTGGTTCCAAATTAAGCGCGTTTGAACATTAAGACACGTGTGGACTGGCGGCCATCTTGGATTTGACCTCTCACGGTCTTCAGGGTCAAGAAACCTGTACTTCCCTCCACATCTTAAAATAAAACATCCATTGGTATATATAACTATGCTGAAATTCATGCTTTTCTCATAAAATGCACAATTGTTGTGGTGTATCTGCTGCACTATATCTTGTGCAAAGACATAACATACATTATTATAAAAAGAAATACGACGTGGTGATATGTTCGTCGAGCATCGGACACCTTGTTCGTATGCGCCATTCGTCCGCAGCAGTTGTTGTGCATGCGCATGTTGTTTTCCTGTGTTTGTTTATGTTGTGCTGCCGCAGTGCGCACGCACGAGTGCCGGGAGGTAGCGAAGTGTGAAGGATGGGGGGCGGGTCTCTCCCCAGAAAATGTTGAAATCTCTAGACCCTCTAAATGCTTAAATTGCTTGAGCGTTTTGTTACGTTTGGCTGCCTCAATATTTCAATGACTAATTATAGTGAACAAGAAGATACTGGTAAAATTTATTTGATTTTGCAAGAATCATCAGTTAACCATCCAACAACTCAACATAAATTTGATCAACAATTAATACAATAAAACAACAGCGGAACGAAGCGAAGACTCACGCAGAACAAAACAACAAGACTTTCTCAACAGTAATGTAAGGCATAGAGAATATTAGGTAGATGATTATGCATTATACCGATAATGAAGCGTACTTTCATATGTACAGAAGCCGTTGCGTACAACAAAACACGTAGGTTTGTGCACCCAGTGCAATAAAAATAAATTATAAATTTATTATATAAATGTATATAATAATATAAATAAACAATCACTGAAAAGGATAGGTCACTCGTACTATGTAGTGTACACTCTCACTCTCAATTCAATTCCCACTTTTCTCTGACTAGGCGGCTGGGTCTATTTCTCAGGTAGTAATTTCTTCAGTCAATCATAGTCTTGCGTTGAGAAGCAAATCTATTTCCAGATGGTGATTGTGAAAAGATGGGAGCGGTTGATGCTTTGGTGATTTGAGTGTCGGTGAGTGCTTTCACCCAAGGCCTGCGACATCACACTTTGTACAGCAGTATGTTCGGGATGCATTTCAATATTGAAACGAGGACAACTCTCGTACTGAAGGCTAGCTTTTGTCTATATTCTATTTTTCTTTATTATAAGTACATGCTCGAGCTGCATTGATTTGAGTCAATGCTGTTTGTCATCATAGGAGACATTATTTCCTGGCTGTCTTACTCTTACACTTATACTTTACATGTAAGGCCATTGATGGGCTATACCGTCCACGGCCACGCAAGTATCCTTCGATGGGACAGCGAGCTTTAGTTCGTTCAGCCGAGGTTGTCTGTTCTATAGAGATGTTTACTAGCAGGGTTCACGTACATACAAAACCATCTGTTGTTATATAATGCAGGCCGACATTAATTGTAATGCTCGTTTACACACTGCCATTTTATGTCTGAAAATATTATTTTTTGTTCTCAGTTAAGGAATACAAGCAGGATTGCCTCGTGCCTATCAATAGTGAATTACAACCCTAATTGTAAATTAAAGCATTATGTTTTGTATTGTGTGAATATCAGGGTTGCTATGTGTAATCAGTTGATTGTCTAGTATATCTGCTAACCCAGTTGTAAATATTATTTAAGTATATATGAGCTTTTGTATTATAAAAGTCATATAAATTCATTTAAATGTGTATTTCAGTTACCTAATTCTTGTCCTAAACATCAACCCATGCTTTATAGATACTATACCTTAACATTTGAATACGTGTTGTGTGTATGTGTTTCGTATGATGCATGCGCTGCATGTGCTGTTAGTGAAAGCCAGATTAAAATTATGTGTAAGTGCAAAAAATTATTGTAAAAATTACACATGACATACGGACACACACGCGCACTTCATAAGTCGGTCCTCTAACCTGGTGCAACACAACATCAATGTCAGGAAGAATATAGTGGGGTACAGTGACAATGTCACTCTCTACGACCGGTGAACGGCATAGCACAGGATCCTCTTGCTGACAAATTGTACAGACTTCAGAGCCGCATACAAGATCGTCTCGTAAATAATGCTCCCTGACAATTTTTAGGATACCACCTCTCTTGGTTTTCCGTAGGAATATCCTAGACTTTAACATAATTACACCAGGTTTATAATTTTATATGTAGTAACTTCACATTTCATTTCATTGACTGTGCATGGTTGATAGCGATAGCCGCGCTACCACGCGGACAAACATTACTTATTTTGTACATAATGTTCTTCCGAAAGATGTCGCCCAAATACAACAAACGATAAACAAGAAGACTCCGGTAAACATTGAGATGACAGAAAATTTACCTGGAAAAACATATTGGATCGCATTAAAACCGGAATATATAACAGGTATAACTTAATTCTGCTCGAGTCACTGCTGCGTTTAGGACGTCGAGTTGACTAAGCTACTTATTGTTCAGCAGTGTTGTAATGAACGATGTTATCATAGTCATTACTCATACTCATAGTCATAGTCACAGGCACTTGGAACGTGACTCATAAAACAAAATTTAACCTGCGTAAAATAAAACATTGAAAGCTGTACCACAATGAGTCTTATGTTATCTCTCGGCGCTTACTACTATTTCACTGATGAATGCCGCTGTAAATTGGCTCATCTGCACACACAAATACACCGTTATGCCCTGGCCCGGGCGCTGCTGCCAGCGATGCACAAACACACCTATGAATAAGAGCAGCAGGTAGGAAAGCGCGCATTGGAAAATTCGCTCGCGCTCGCTAGATTTCTCACGATCATTGCTGAATCGAAACGCATCCAACAGCTTTCCATCATGCGCTATACTATGTGTACCATAATGTTCACCTTGTTCGCCGATTATAACTTCTGGCTTTGTTCTTAGCGCTACTCCCCCCAGACGATATTCTCGCGAAATCCTGGCACGCACAATGCTGCTCTTCCCTGTGCAAAATGTAAAGAGGATTCGACATGATCCGAAATCGGCTCTAACGGCACTACTTTCACTCCAGATCGCTGTAGTACGTAGTGTGTCTGTGACGTCATGCCCGCAGCGCCATTGCTGCCTTGCGCTTGGCCGGGCGCGACAGATGGAGCTCGCGAGGCCGGCACGCAGCTCATCCCCGGCATGCCATGCGCCCATTGACTTCGTGTATAAACAGACATCTCCGTCCTCTTTACGATTTTTTCACCGGAGAGCACACTTTCGGTGCCAGGATTTTGCCGAGATTCATCTCTGGCGGCAGTAGGTTAAGAACAATAGGCCAGCAGTTATAATCGAACAGTGAACTAACTTTATGTCACACATAGATACCAAGATGGAAGCTCTTGGATGCGCTTTTCGCTTCTAGTGTAATCGTGAGAAATGATTTAAGCAAGCCGTCGCACGCGAATTTTTCAAATCGCGCATTTTCCTACCTTGCTCTTCTTATTTCTGTTGTTTGTGCACGCCTGCACAGCGCCGGCGCGGGCCGGCATCGGTGTATTTGTGGTGTTGCAGTATGAGCATTTGACCATGGCATTTCACAGCCGCTTGAAAAATAGAGTAGGCCTAGAGAAAATTATCAGACTTCTTTGCGGTACATTCTCATGCTTCTATTGACTATTAACTTTTTTTTTATATGCAGACCGTTCAAGTGCAACTGTGGTCATTAGTGTACTATGCGTAGCTCAAGGAAACGGCATTGCTAGGTTAGAATACCAATGCAGCGCCAGAGAAAGCCAAGTAACCGCCAGATGATATATTGACGTTAGTCACACCAAGCCTCGGTCGGGTTAAGCTGCGCCTACTGTAATAACTAATAACACTTAATGTTGAACTGTTATAGGCCACTGCCAGTAGCTTCAGATACGCATCGACTGTTAGGGCTAAAAATAACTCAATACTAAGTCAATACTAACATTACTCACTGGACGTCAAACTTTACTGTTGGTGTCTGGCTGTAGTGCAAGTGCCAAGATTCAAGATTCAAACAGTTTTATTTGTGCATAAGACATACATACATTATTATAAAAGAAATACGACGTGGATATTCGTCCGAGCATCGGACACTTGTTCGTATGCTCCATTCGTCCGAGCAGTTGTTGCGCATGCGCTGTTTATGTTGTGTGCCGCAGGCGCACGGCACGAGTGCCGGAGGTAGGAAGTGTGAAGGGGGGGGGGTCTCTCCCCAGAAAATGTTGAAATCTAGACCCTCTAAAATGCTAAATTGCTATGAGCGTTTTGTTACGTTTTGCTGCTCAATATTCAATGACTATAAAATGAACAAGAAGATACTGTAAAATTTATTGATTTTGCAAGATCATCAAGTTAAACCATCAACAACTCAACATAAATTGATCAAATTAATAACAATAAAACAACAGCAGGAACGAAGGAAGATCACGCAGAACAAAACAAAAGACTTTCTCACATAATGTAGGCATAGAGAAATTATCAGAGTAGATGCATTATGATTATACCGATAATGAAGGTACTCATATGTACAGAAAGGTTTGCGTACAAAAACACGTAGGTTTGTGCACCCGTGATAAAAATAAATTATAAATTTATATATAAATTATATAATAATATAAATAAACAAATCACTGAAAAGGATAGGTCACTGTACTATGTAGTGTACACTCTCACTCTCAATTCAATTCCCACTCTTTCTCTGACTAGGCTTGGGTCTATTTCTCAGGTAGTAATTTCTTCAGTCACTCATAGTCTTGCGTTGAGAAGAACATCTATTTCCAGATGGTGATGGTGAAAGTGGGAGCGGTGAGCTGGTGATGAGGTCGGTGGTGCTTCACCCAGGCTGCGACTCACACTTTGTACAGCAGTATGTTCGGGATGCATTCAATTTGAACGAGGACAATCTCGTACTGAAGGCTAGTCTTTTGTCTATATTCTATTTTTCTTTATTTAAGTAATGCTCAGTGCATTGATTTGAGTCAATGCTGTTTGTCATCATAGAGACCATTATTCCTGCTGTCTTACTCTTACACTTATACTTACATGTAAGGGGTTGATGGGCTGTAGTAGGCCCCAGAAGTATCCTTCATGGACAGGTGTCTGTTCTATAGAGATGTTTACTAGCAGGGTTCACTGTACATACAAACCATTGTTGTTATATAATGCAGGGACATTAATTGTAATGTCCGTTTAAACACTGCATTTTTATGTCTGAAAATATTATTTTTTGTTTCCAGTTAAGGAATACAAGAGGATGCCTCGTGCCTATCAATAGTGAAATTACACCCAATGAAAAAAGCAGGTGTGAATATCAGGGTTGCTAATGTGTAATCAGTGATTGATCTAGTATATCTGTAACCCAGTCTGTTAAATATTATAAGTATATATGAGCTTTTGTCATATAAACAGTCATATAAATTCATTTAAATGTGTATTTCAGTACCTAATTTGTCCTAACATCACCCATCTTTATAGATACTATACCTTAACATTTGAACTACGTGTGTGTGTATGTGTTCGTACGTGCATGCGTGCATGTGTGTTAGTGAAAGCCAGATTTAAAATTATGTGTAGTGCAAAAAAATTTAAAATTTAATTTTTATTTTTCAGTCCCTACATTCTTGAAGTTTGCAACACATATCAACATAGTGAGTATACTTTCTTTGCGAGTTTACATCGGATCAGATATTCGTTTCTAGAATTGTGTCAAAATAGGGCATATATGTCCACGTAACCGACAACTGTGTTTTTAACTGTTTTATGTAGCATTTAGTTTCTGTTTATCCAGTATATAATCAGTACCTCTTCAGAACATTCTGATAGTGAATTGTCTGAATTAATCTTTACAAATTGACTTGATTTCCCTACTCGGATTATTTAAAGTTATATCTGTTAGAAACATTGCTAGATGCATTCCTCGTTTTATCTCATGTTTTCGACATGTTTGTGCATTTCATGTTGTAGTCAAACCTATACCCCGGACCCTGCAGACATCCAACTATAATCATACACTGCATAATAAGCTACAGAACCTCCTGACTCGGGTGAGCATCACGTGACAGCCAGCACGCATACGGCAAACGTCTCTGCTATATATGGCTAAGGGAATGTTTATCGACCAGTTTGAATTAACAACTAACTTGTAAAGCTTTCATTGTCGGACAGGGCTAGCTTTTGATACAGGTTATTAATGGTCATTGCCTGTATGTAGTAAGTAGTGACAATTGCCAATGTTAATTGTTTTTTCCGTAGACGGAAACATTGTTCCACGTGTATTTGCCTACCACGACTAGTATTGCTCTGAGGGTATTAGTCTGGTTTCTAACGTACTGCAACAGGGTGCGAAATTAACGCGAGTCCGGAGTCAAATACTCCCTGATTTACTGTCGGATTCCCTGATTTGACATATGCAGGAGTCCGTGTGACTCCCTGAAAATTCTGATATACTAAAAAGTTTGTTCAAGAGCACGGCCTCACGGAATTACCGTATTTTTTCTAGCAAGTGTCCAAAGAAAATTTGGCAGACGTGCATCCCATGAATCTTCAAAATGTATGCGTTATTGTTGTTGTGCTTTAGTTTTGAACTTTAGACTGCGGACTCCCTCATTTTGCTACGGACTCCCTCTTTTTGAGGGCAGGGAGTCCGTTGTTCAAAAGTTTTTCTAACCCTGCTGCAATTATGTGATAAATTTCCAGGTACAGAGACTGGAGCAGGTGGCACCAGAACTGAGAAACATTAGAAATAACAATCTTACAGAGGCAAGCTGAGATAAGCTGAGAGATAAGCTGTCATATATTGTTTTCATTAGAATTAGTTCACTTCTTTACCAGTCATGCCAGTAGCACAAAGTCTGCATTGTGAAGGTAGCTATAGGAACAAAATGGTTTCCATTGTTTTCGTGATGTTATTGCATAAACCTAGATGTATTATTTGAATTCGTAAGTTATGGGTATTTCAGTTGCAGTTGTATTTTATCTTGAGTTTTTACAGGGGTTTTGTGCCATCTAACTCTCACAGGTTGTGTAGAAAGTAAATTTGATATAGGCCTTTAGTGGCAAACTTTTTTCAATATTTTCCAGGGATTTTAATGGGGATGGGGGGAGGGGGAGAGAATGTTCTTCAGTAGAAAACACTTGAAAGTTTGTACTAACCCGTTTGCTGCTCTTTTGTTTTCATGAGTAGGAGATGCAAGAGCTGGAGCGGAAGCTGGATTTCTTGAATAGTCGTATGCGGCAGGCTGACTCTAGCAAGTGGAAGGGGATGTTCAAGCGCAACCCCCTCTGGTGACACAAGCCAGAGATGCACACTACAAACTCCAACCCCCTCTGGTGACACATCCCAGAAACATGCATCCAACTGCGACCCCCTCCCCTTCCTCTGGTGACACAAGCCAGAAACACCTGGCTCCAACTGCAACCCCCTGTGGTGACGTAAGCCAGAAACACGTGTCCAAGCGCGACCCCTCTTCTGGTGACATAAACCAGAAGCGCACATCCAACTGTGCTTGCCCCATCTGGTGACACGATCCAGAAATATATGTCCCCAAATTCTACTTCCTCTGGTGGTAAAAGCCAGAAGCATGCATGCCCTACTGCGACCCCTCCTGGTGACGAGAGCTCAAATTAGCATGGCCAACCACACCCTCTTCTCAAACAAAGAACCAGAATCAACCACATTTAAGGGGAACCAAGGCACACAAGATGTACTGTCGCTGAAGAGATGTGTGGTGATATCACGTATGATCCGTATGTCCATCTGCAACCCCCTCTGGTGACGCAAGCTCGAATTGGATATTGGTAGGAGTGTTAGTCTCAGCTGGAGCCAATGACATCCAACTGCGACTGGCCAAGCTAGCAAGAGCTGGAACAGTCATGGCTCGCGGCTACCTCGTTTCGTGACACGTCTATAGTCATCTGTCGGTAACCTTTAGCTCGCATTTTCGTAATTTATTCCGACAGCAAAATCCTAATTGTCATCCATGAAGTCATACATCCATTTTCTTTGATAGCATAATAGGGATATATAATTATATTTGAATGAAGTCTTAGAGTGAAGAAGTTGGAGATGTAAACGTGAGACGTTAATTTTGTGATGGTAGTTAGTTTTAAGGCATGATGAAATTGATGTACTGATGTGTTAAAATATTTTCATCTCTTGTTCACTTCCATACTTATTTCGGTATAAAAAGTGCAATATAGCTATAAAAAATATTATTTACAATCATGAATTCCTGAAATTATATGTAATTTATTGTTCGTGACGTCATAAAAAAATTACTGTTGTGGGAATATTTGTGTGTATATATAAGTAAAATTAAATTTCCACTGTTAGTCACTTCAGTAAAGATTTTGAACATTTGTTATAATATGTTTCTGAAAATCTGAATGATTGCGGTGCACGATAATTATGTTATAACACATAGGAGGAAGGGGGGGGGTGTTTATCCATGGAACCGATAATAAAGCTTCTCCGCCACTGTTGTGAGGGTCTCAGGTGACGTGGCTGTTGCTACGTCTTTCTGCTGGCAGCTGATTCTAATCTATAATTGTTTTCATAAGGAATGTGTGAAATTGTTCTGTGGGGCTCTGACCTACTGGCACTGCAAAACATCTAGAGTGATTGTTGGCGGCCGCTTCCCTTTCAATTATCTTTACAGTCTCGAAGTCTGAATTGTTTAGCTTTAAGTTTTTCTTTTATATTTGAGTCGTTGCGCAGGGTTATTTGCTTTCTAGTGAAGATTAAACATTTAATTGGCGAATGAATGATCAATCAACTCTGTTTTTATTTATAGAGGATGATATAGTCTCTTGCTCAAGCCGAGAGAGAGATTTCATGAAATTTGCAGCGACCCCCTTAAAATTATGTTAACATCAAATTTTGAATTTTATGTAAAATGGTATTTTGGATATTTCTCAATGGACTATTGCAGAAGGAGTGAGAATAGCCAGCAAATTTTTGCCACATGTTAAGCAAACTGAGTGGACGCGAAAATAGTCCGCATTCAGGGATATTTCACTTTATATTTACGCAGTATTTACTGAGGGAAAAACTCGAAAAAAAACTGGCTTAGAAAACAGGTCAACAGCATGTGTCAGCAAAATAGAGAAATTTTTAGGCAATATAAAGAGACATCAAACTAAATAAAGTAAGGAACGGTAATAACCAATCCCTGATGGGCTTTTTTACCACAAAATTGTTAGGGCCATTAAATCTGAGTGTAAAAAATTAAATGAATCCGAGTTGTACATTCACAGAGAAATGAGGACATCTTATACATCGGCTACTGCGTCAGAAAATCGAAACAGAGATAAACACGTTTTCTATGTCACAGTGAGTGATATCTCTGCCTGTGTGGCCAACATGGGTGCCACGCACTGTGAACACTATCTACTGTTAGTACTTCTTACTTGCGCGACATATTCCCACTGACTAGCGGAACTGACACCACTTAAATTAGATTAAAATTCTTCTATGGGCACCCTGTAGAATTTGTAAGAATTACGAAGGTTACGACACACCAACGATCGCTAATAACTCGCCAAGCACGCGCCACTGCATGACGTCACAGATCTGCGTGTCACCGAAAGCTTGAAAACGCTGTAAAAGTTGACACGCACTGGTATATTTGCTAAAGTGAAGTGTGTACAGAGGTGGCCTCTAGGGTAAGCGAGCTGTATAAGAACGAAAAACGAAAATCGCTAAAAATCATGCCGGCAATCCCTGGTTACGTGTGCCAGTATCCTTAAGTTTTTCATTTTATAGTTTTGAGTCGTTTTTATAAAATTTTTAACAGGGACTTCTTCCCAGTGGGTCAGTACCCATGATTGCACACAAGTGGGGCGAGGCAACGCTGAGGGCAAGGCAAAAATGTTGGTGGGGGGGCGGCAGAAAAGTGTTGTGATTACGTTAGCGCCAAATTCCGTAGCACGTAGCGCGAGCACTGGATGGGTGGGGTCGCAGCCTTACGTGCCCCTGGTGGGGATCCGGAAGCTCGTAAAGTTTTTTTAGGCATTTTGAGGTGAAAAAATCAAAGCCTCTGTATGCTAAACAAGAAATAAAGCACGTTTGTAAGAGCACTTCTGATCCGTAATCCAAAACTTCGTAATTTTTTTACTGTAGTGTGCGATTTCAGCGTGCGGAATGATGTCCATACAACCAGAGACCCAGTTCAAGCGCAGCAATGGCGAGAGATAAGAGTTCCACCTAGCAACACAGGGTAGACCCACGTTTTGCCGCCAACGTACATAAGACAAGTCGCGGGAAGAGGGGTCCCTATAGCTACCAACTAGCATGTGGGGTCGGTAAGGGAGTTCGCGCCTCACCATGTAAATCGGACGAGGCGAGGGAGTTGCACGCGGCCGTAGGCACTGTGGGGGCGGAGCAAGGGCGGGTGCGACGATCTCACGACACTATTACTGGACCAAAGGAGTTGTATCACCCGTTGCACTGTGTTAATGCGCAGGGTGGGAGTGACAACTGCGCCAGGGTCCCCCTGAGAGCGAGCGAGGGGGCACTGCCCGCGATCCTCACGTGCAACGCGCGAGCGCGTACCTATATAAAGCGGCCAAGCGAGAAAACTGTAAGAATGCAGTCCGGTCGTACGGACGGCCAACGAACGAAGCGAAACTGCGCTTGAGAAAGCGAACGAACGAACGAACGAACGAACGAACACGCTCGTGAGCGAACGATCGCGCTCGAGAGAGCGGCACACAGCCGGCCGGATACGGAGGGTGGATCCTGGTAAATCCACCGTCCGAGGGAGAGCCACCCACTAGGCAGGACGACGCCCGAGAAGGTATATCTTATACCAGGAGGCGGTATCAATCGACAAATAATGTAGGCAGCGTATTTGTCAATTATAAGCGCGCCTGCTTTATACGTCCAGAGGAGGGCGGAACCACGCGGAGCTATGCCTACCCGGACAGGAGACACCGCTGCCAAACCCACAAACTCGCGGCCGATCCGCGCAGCACAGGACGACGGGAAGACAGACGAAGGAGGCGGCGCCGGTGCTAAACAATATTAACACGACCGTAGAAGTAGGGCCCAAGAGTTATCGCTCTAAAGTGTAATAAAGCTAGGACGAGGTAACGTATATACGGATACCATGAGTAATATATATATACCTTATCGAACGGATGGTATAATATATACGCTATATTTGAGATACGTGCAGTGACATGTTATTCGTATTTTAGATGAATGAAAACCATCCGTTGTATAAAGACTATCTAACCGGACTTGCGTTCATTCATCTGGCGGTGTTTCCTTGACTACTGCAGTCACGTCGTACTATATACTTCACGTCCCGGAGCGGACAATCGATCCGACCCCCCAATAAATTACACGTGCCTACCCACAGCAACGTGTGAAAGTCCATGTGGCCACCTCTAGGGCCACTACAGTAGTGCGTCAGCTGTTTGCTAAAATTAAGGCTATCCCACGGAAACTGCCCTGTTTCGCTAAAAATCAAAGGGGACAATCGTAGTGGGGCAAACTGGCAAAAGAGAGCGATATTATTTTCCGGCAAAATCCGAAGGGTTGTCTTGTCTCACTCAATTATATGAAGAAATTCAAATTAACATAGACTAGGCAAGATTAAAGAGAGCATATCGTTTTGGGCCTGTGGAAGTCTAAGAATGTAATATTGTCATTGGCTACCTTATGTTTGTGCTGGACTTCTCGCCCTCTCACTCTGACTGGGTCTCTGGCAGCATGGAGCTGACTTGGGGAGTCACTGGGGGGCCGCTTCCAGAGGCGCGGAAGTTATCGGAGGGGGGGGACAAAGACTGTGACTGGGGCGGGCATTTGCCCCCCACCCGGGCCATTGCCGCCCTTGGTGGGCCGCCCACTGCAGAGTCTAGCACGGGCTCCATCGACGACTGGAATTAGAGAATATTTATAGTTTGAGAAAGAAAAAAATATAACGTAAATAATAATATTCCCCCCCATATGAGATTTGAAAATGACTCAAGTCTTATACTGCACAGTGGTGCCACTTAGTTCTTATAACAACTTGTAAATCTGCACTAACATTAGTTATACAGTGGGTTATTAACGTTAGTTGTTGTGTAGTCTATGGTGCGATTATGGCGTATGTTCTCTCTGCGGAGGATGCTCATCTCGCGTGAGTGCCTCGTCTGTCTAGTTTTAGTTAGTGTGTGGTATTGCGCACGTCGCGGCGGGCGACCGGCGTAGGTGTGTTGTCTGTGTGTATGCGCGCTGTTCATGTCCGCTCCGGTCATGTTCTCCTCCATCTACATAATACAACACGATCCGGCGTCCTTGCCTGGAGAACGAATAAGGCGATAAATTAATTTGGGTTCAATGTGCTACAACATAGATTTTAAAGCAAATAAGCTGTTTCCTGGTTACCGACGCCATCAGTATTCCGGAGACCACTCGTAGTGCTTTTTAACCCCGTGTTCCAGTTTCAATAGGGCACAAGTTTGAATTTCAAGACGATCCCTCTCTACGGCTAGCTCCGGAGACCCCCATTTTCGAATCATAAGCCGGTTCCAGAGCATTGAGCCACTATTCAATAGCAAACCATTAGTTCCGAGACGACGTCATTTTCAGGTGGCGCGGAGTTAGTTCTTATGAGCCCCCTCCCCCCTACCCTCAACTTTTAACTTCGCAGTGCGCCAACATACCAAGATACCTATCCATAATTGGGGTGAGTCACCCCCGCCCCGGGGTTTTCAATCCTTCTGTGTATATTGTTTCACCTTGGTATTCCTCTGCAACAATTTTTTTTGTCAGCAATCATTGAGGGCTTTTGATTAGCTAAAACTCCTGAGAGCTTCCCGGACCACTGCCAAGGGGCACTACAGGGGGCCCCTTGGGGCCGGAATTCACAATCAACGGTTGCGCGCAACGTGTATTGCGCTACACAGAGGTTTCTACGAGTACGTACGCAAAGCTCGTAGGTGCGATTCATCCAACAGCAGCGTAGCACGCTCCTCATTTTCGTCTTGTATGATTTTTGTGTCTCCAACAACTGCGGGATTGAAAGCTGACAGCGCGACAGCGTACGCATGCGTTCGTGCGTGTGGCCGTACACGTGGTGCGTCGTGCGTGTGCACATACACGTGTGATGCGAGTGGTATGTCTCACGTGCGTTGCTTGTCGTACCCGTCACCATGCTGGGGCGTGCTCGTGCCGTGCGTTTGTGTCACGTACTACGTGCGTGTTTTGTGTGCACGTGCAAGTGCGTGTGCGTGTTGCACGTACTTTCGGCTAAACTACGAACTCGCTTCATAAGCTGAGAGAGACAATGCCTAAGCTTATGCGCAAAAAAAGCGTCAACGGGACGCCGACCTGCGGCGGTGGTAGTATCGGTACGAGAGTTTTATTTACTTTTTATGTTAGTAGTAATTTTTATTACACTGCTTTTCATGCATAACACTAATGCATGCTCGCGGGGTATTGCTGGATCACCTGTGAACATTTTCGAGTGGTCACACGCGGCACCTCCGTCAGCGTGCGCGAGTACTATTAAGTCATTAAGCAAGGTTTACGTAAATTTTAGGCATTGATAGAATCGTCTACAACCTAGGAAACGGCGATCGCTTGGCGTACTGGACGGATAATCGTAACACGCAAATTCACTAATCTAAATAGCGCTGTGTTGATGAATCGGCAACTATAAGCATCGTCGATTGCGTACACAATGATTACGCAAAATATTTTCGTACGCAGCTTCTTGCGAATAGACATCAATGATCTAACCAGTCCCCGCGCTGGAAGCCGCGCCTGGTCAATGTGCACAGGGCACAGACAGGTATCCAGAGTCTACAGTTTCGCCCAAGGGCGTGTACAGGGGGGGTTGGGCGCCAGTGAGTCGCGGACCCTCCTAACTCGCGGGCAGAAAACGCATCTGAGGGGGTCTGTATGATTTCTAAAGAAAAATGTTTCCGGGGATGAGCCCGCCCAGACCCCACGCGCGGGTCGCCCAGTGCTCCTGTATCTAGGCCCGCTGCTTTCGCGTTGCCCCCCCCTCTCAAACACTACCACTGGCGCCGTCTCTGCCTGCCCATTGAGATTGTGAACGATCATTGTCTCAAACTCGCGACCTTGCTAACATGTACGAGGCACTTCAGGCTTTCAACTGTAAACACACTGACCACCAAGCGGGGTTGTACCCTGCCGCCGCCATTTGCGCGACACTGACATCAAATTATAGTGGTGTTCCTAGTTTCTCAATGAGTGAATTATTATTATTTCTTATTTAATACTTATAGGCTTTATGTGACAGTGTACGCGCATGGCCTGGGCGTGTAGTTTAACCAGGCAAGCCGGTCAGTTAGATGCGATATGCATGTCTACTAAAGGCAGCTTCTAAGTTACAACAACCAGTTGAAAACGCTCCAAGGCGGCGTGTGTACTGCCAGTGGTGTCGCGCCCAGCTTGCAACGTGGCGGTTGTGCCGTGGTACCCGTTGGTGTGGTAGACACTGTAAATCTCACTAATCATAAAGGCTTAAACTTCACGCTTTGCGTTGTCCCGATTAGAGGGCTGATGACTTAGTGAGATTTACAGTGTTACAGTGGCTATAAGACTGACATGACAGGTTCAAATCTCAATGAGGAATATATTATTTTACGTTATATTTTTTTTCATATAATATTTTAATTCCCAATGTCATTTCGAGCGCTGTGGCGTCACAAGTACATAGCCAATCCGCTTCCTTTACCTTCTTGTTCTGCTATCAGGCACTTAAGCACTTTGCCACCGGCTCATGCTACCAGTTACGCGTATCTGTTGTCTGCTTGTCACGTCACTTGTCAGTTCATAGATATTCGTCCTCAAATCAAGCACTCCAAAATGCCTAACAGTGCAGAATTCGAGAAAGCAGCAAATGATGCCAGGAACTTGAAGGCAAAGCCAAACGATCAACAGCTACTAGAGATATACGGGTTATTTAAGCAGGCGACAGTCGGCGACGTGAACACGGAACGGCCAGGAATGCTGGATTTCAAAGGTAGCGACACCCTGTCGTTCTGACACGTTCTGAGTACTAGTAATAGTATAGAATCTGGGTCACCTACCTGGAAATGATCCGAACTATTGGCTCTAATTCGCACAGTTGCACCAAACTGCATATTTTTCTTCTTTACTAGGAAAGGCGAAGTGGGATATCTGGGAAGGCAAGAAAGGAACAGCCACTGGGGAAGCAGAGCAGAAGTACATCAGTGCTGTGCAGGGTCTCATAGAGCAGTACGGACTGGAGTGAATCAACGCTGTAGCCACTCGCAGACAGTATCTGAAGAAATGAACTTTTTTATACCTAAAAATGACCTAGAGATTAATAACGAGTACGAAACTATATTATATATACATCATTTTGTGATGTGTAATGATGTACACCGTACACACATTGGCCATGGCCTATCGTCGCAAGGTCTGTATTCACAGGGTGTGGTAATTTATAATATATATAATCGCGATGCTTACTTATTCAGTAATGTATAGCATGGCATGTGTGAAAGCCTGTACGTGGTTGTGAAATCTTGGGTGTAATATTCATAATGCAATATGTGAGAAGCAATGCCTAAAGAATGCTACTCGTTTCAAGCCATTACATATTTTTGATTAGCATCGGAAAGTTATCTGGAGCATGCATTGAACCTGTTTGCAATAATGCAAAATTAAATATTTGATCACAGATTCATCATTCCAGTTGCTTTGCTACGGACTTTTGTCACATTCCCATCGTTTATGTATGCAACATTCAGAGATAGAAGATTCAACCTGAAGCAGCTTTTTGATGAGATTTTTGATTGGCACACAGTGAAATATGCTTCACTCATGTGCAATGTTGTTTTAATAAACTTGTGCTTAATTGATCTCCTGCGTAATGCTGTTGTTTTGCACATCTTGCTGTTATCGTTGACAGTGTGGTATAAACGGATGGACGTGGTGTCGCTCATCTCGTTACAAAAGCACCGGTTGGACCTATTTCATGTACGTGCCCCGGGCAGACAAGTGTCTGGTAGTCGGTGCAATGAACTTGTCACCTTTCTAAAGTGGGGGACACACCAGGCGAAATTCGCATGGTGTGTCCGCTCACGCGCGGGCGAATTTCGCTGCGAATTTCATCCGCACCGAAATTCGCAGCGATCAAACGTTTGATATTTTCGCTGCTAATTTTTATCGCTGCGTACAAATTCGCATGGTGTCTCCGTGGAAGCGAAAATCAAGCCGGCCGATGTGATAATGCAGCGTATCATTGATCAGTATGCTAATCACGTGATTGAACATACAATGGGAATACAATGGGACATAGTACAATGGTAGTGGGATGTATGGGCAAGATTTCTTGGAATCTTTCACCAGAGACCACATGACTGTTGGAGCCGTGTGGCACCAGTAGATCACGTGTAGTAGTACGCTGCGGACGTGCGAATAAATTCGCATGGTGTGTCCGCTCAATTATCGCATGCGCCATGATGCGGGTGCGAATATTTTCGCTGCAGATATGAGCGCCGCTGACGTGCGAATAAATTTGCATGGTGTGTCCCAGGCTTTACGGAATCCAGAACAATATGCCCAAATGTCGCAGCTTGTACATTGCTACTACACAGGCCGGTGATCGCAGACTATAGTGTTGGGGGCTATATAGAATGTGGGACAAGCAGTTGGCCTTGGCTGTAGAATGAAAAAGGCAGATAAATATAACCTGGTATATCAACCACGTGGGTGCAGTGATGAAATTACAGTAAAACAACGACACCGTATTCACTTTTCACCATTTTATATGCTCTATGTGAACTGATATACTCTTGACCCTATATCCACGAGCATTGATCGACAAAAATAATTGCAAAAACCACATCTCACTCAATATGCAATCAAACCCAGCCAATTCAAACAAACAAGGTATTCACATTCATAATATGAGAAGTAGATGAACGAGCGATCTCTCTCATTCAAGTATGCCCAATTATATATTGAGTAGCTCCAGGGGGTGACTAAAAAAGCGGTTGCCAGAAACCTAGCATGCATTGCTTTTAATTTAATCCTGTACTGATAAATAGAAGGTGATATTCAACACCTACGTTGTCAGACAACTACGTACAACGACTACATTGTCAGCATTTATTTGCTATGTCAACAGTGCCGATCAGTTAGTGCACATTCACACTGCACATACACGAGTATTAGCGAGTACTTCAGCACAGACGGATACACGAGTAGCTTGATTGCATATGCAGCCGTGCACTAACAAGGGCAAAGAACAATTATTATCACGTCAATTACTGTACCTGCTAGTGGATTATAAAGTCCACAAGGATTAAACGGTCTCCAGGGACTCGACTCTCCCATTTGTGGTTGATAACTTGCAGACTTGAGAGGACACGGAGCCTCACTACAGCCGAGTTAAGATTCCACTGCCCACAGTTCAGCAGCTTGACCGACATATGCAGGGCAGTTATGCGCTTAGTGTTGCTCACTAGCTTGATAATTCTGCTTCTCTAGAACGACTTTGACAGTCATTAATCAGCAAATAATTAATAAGGCAATAATGCATCGGCCGAGCCATGAGTGCCCCAGATTCACAAAACCATAAAAATTCCTAACTCTCTCTCGGTGAAGACAAAACCTTCATGTTTCGATGTTTAAACGTGTACATATCGATTTTAATAGCGATTAACAGAATGCGCATTCACAAGATCGGGAGACTCGAAGACAGTGCGAGACGAACCTGGCTCACGGATATTCAAATAGAATGTGTTAGCACAGTAACATACTCTGAACAATCATACAATGAAAATTTGACTATGTCGATTCTTTATTGTGGCCCAAGATTGAACATGCGCACGTTGAGCGTCATACATCAACCGATGTCAACATCACGCAGAACTGGGAAAACGTCAACCGTCCACCGGTTTGTAGTATTTACCTTTAAACTTTGCATCGGAAAGGAGGGGGATTTAGTTCTATGGATTCGATGACAACATGTATGTACTACACAGTACTAGTAGTAGTACTACATACTACACAGCACTACAAATAGTACTGTGTGTGACAGTACTACCATTAGTATTATATGTACTACAGAACAACGTAGCGCGAGCACTGATGGGTGGGGTCCAGCCTTACGGCCCCTGGTGGGGATCAGGAAGCTCTAAGTTTTTTTTAGCATTTTTGAGGTGAAAAATCAAGCCTCTGTATGCTAAACAAAGAAATAAACACGTTTGTAGAGCACTTCTGATCCGTATCCAAACTTCTAATTTTACTGTAGTGTGGCGATTTCAGGGGGATGATGTCATACAACCAGAGACCAGTTCAACAGCAACAGAGATAGAAAGTTCCCCTAGCGACAGGTAGAAAGTTTTACCCAACGACATAGACAAGCGCGGGAGAGGGGGTCCCATAGCTACCAGATGTGGGCGGTAAGGGAGTTGCGCCACCATGTACACGGACGAGGCGAGGGAGTTGCGCCGGCCGAGCACGTGGCGGACAGGGCGGGTGCGACGCTCAGACATATACTGGACCAAGGTGGTTGCATCACCCGTACACGTGTTAAGCGAGGGGGGTGACAACGGCAGGCACCTGAGACGTGAGAGGGGGGCACTGCCCGGATCCTACGTCACCGCAGGGTCCTATATAAGCAGCCAAGAGGAAACTGTAAAATCAGTCGGTCGTCGGACGGCCACGAACGAACGCGCTTGAGAAAGCGAACGAACGCGCTTGAGAAAGCGAACGAACGATCGAACGAACGAACGCGCTTGAGAAAGCGAACGAACGAACGAACGAACGAACGCGCTTGAGAAAGCGAACGAACGAACGAACGAACGAACACGCTCGTGGGAGCGAACGATCGCGCTCGAGAGAGCGCACACACACCGTCAGAGGGAGAGCCACCCACTAGCAGGACGACGCCCGAGAAGGTATATCTTATACCAGGAGCGTATAATGACAAATAAGTAGGAGCGTATTTGTCATTATACGCGCCTGCTTATACTAAGGGAGGGGCCCGGAGCTATAGCCTACCCCGGACAGGGAGACACGCTGCCAACCCACAAACTCGCGCCGATCCGCGGCAGCACACGACGGGGAGAGACAGACGAGGAGCGGCGCCGGGGGCTACAATATTAACCCGTAGAATAGCCAAGAGTTAAGTTAAACGTGTAATAACCTAACGAGGTAACGTAAACGGGACATGAGTAATATATATATATACAACGGATGGTATATATATATATATACGCTATATTTGAGATACGTGCAGTGAATGTTATTCGTATGTACGATGAATAAAACCATCCGTTGTATAAAGACTATCTAAGGACTTGCGTTCATTTCACTCTGGGGTGTTTCTTGCTACTGCATCACCGTCGTACTATATACCTTCACGGTCGGAGCGGAAAATGATCCCGACACAAATAAATTACACGTGCTAACCACAGCACGTGTGAAAGTCCAGTGTGGCCACCCCTAGGGCCACTACAGTAGTGCGATAGTGTTGTAAATTAAGGCTATCCACGGAAATTGCTGTTTCGCAGAAAAATAAAGGGGAAA